TCGAAAATTAGATGTTTTTCTTATTAAATAAATAAATTTACTGTTGTTAAAAAGAACATTTTTTTATTCAAATCTTTTTAGCGTTAAATCCAAACCAAAATAACATACAATCATATGATGCGTTCGGAGAATATCCCCGGAAACTCGATTAAATGCTAGGGAACAAAACGTAACAGATATAGAGATATATAGCTTATAGGGGTCTAGGTAGGGGGGGTCTTGGAGTCTAGGGGTACCGGAGTTATAGGAGATATAGGAGATATAGGAGTTATAGGAGATATAGGAGTTATAGGAGATATAGGAGATATAGTAGTTATAGGAGATATAGTAGTTATAGGAGATATAGGAGATATAGGAGTTATAGGAGATATAGGAGTTATAGGAGTTATAGGAGATATAGGAGTTATAGGAGATATCGAAGAAAGTCTGTATTAATAACATGTCAGCGACCACGCTATCCCAAAACACACATTACATACATTTTATCTTGCCATTGATTAAAATATATTATAAACTTGATACGTTATTGGCCAGCATATCAACAACAAATAATAATGAACAACAGCTTATTTTTATTGCGGTTGAACACAACAATCGAAAACGGCATTTTTTAAGTGTTACTTTCGATGAATTATCAAAATTATTGCACTGTTTAGAACCACCTAAACTCACATTATATGAGATTTTATGTCGAAATAAGTCCTGTAAATTATATTTCGATGTTGACGTATATATAGAAAACACTTTTTTAATAAACATCCAAGAATCTCTATCAACCTTACAAAATCTATTTCATTATATTATTTCAAATTGTACTGATTCAATCACATATCATTCAGCATCAATTGCGGATCATTTTCTTGTCTTATCTGCATCAACAGAATTAAAACATAGCTACCATTTGATTTATACAAACACAATCGTACGATTTGACTCACAACAAACCGTCCTTAAATTCATTTTGACAATATTGCAGTATTGCACACATTTCATACTATCACATTCATGTCACCAACATTTTTTACAATCAATTAGTATACATCACGAAAATAATCCGAATAATTGGCTTAAACATCTGCAAACGATTTTAACTAATACCAATTTCTGTAATTGTGTAATACCTGCAACTAATATAACTTGCAATAACTTTCAAAAGCTTTTATTCAAAAGTAGTTTTATTTTTTCGGCATTCAACTAATGAATCAGATTTTATTTACCTTAGATTCGAATGGATTTTACCAATGGATCTTTGATCTTCATGTTTATAACAAAAATCAACAATTCAGATTATACAAAGTGACAAAATTTGGAAAACATAATCCTTTACTAACAACATCTAGCGTCTCATTCAATGGCCAGAATGAACGAAAGAATGAAATGTTAATTGATAAGACTATAAATTATGATTCTATTCTTAGCCATGCATTAATATCTTATACAGTAAATAATACAAATCTACTGATCTTCTCATTTAATGAGAATAAATGGTCGTTGCTTGACCAACATGAAAATCGTATCGTTGACTTGACTACTAAAACTTATTTTACAACATTAATTATATCAAAAACATCGCCAAACGAGACTAATGCACTAAAACGAATACCGCCAACAAATACCACTGACTTAGCCAACAACACAGATCATTTCAAAAGTTTTATAACAAACTTAATCACAAAAATATATCATACAAACGCTTACATAAGATCATGCCAACGAGGAACAAACAATCCTTCCTTACTGTTCTACAACATTGGTGGAGAATTTCGTTTTTGTGAACGGTTGCAACGCCATCATCAATCGAACAACACTTGTATTATAGTTGACACTTCTACGTGTAAATATCAGATTAAATGTAAAGATCCAGATTGTAAAAACTTTAAACCACCATGGAAACATATTTCTTAATCTAAAAAAAAATGCTAATAACAGTTTAGCCTCATAAAGGAAATAAAACACATCTGTTCTCCCTATATGGAAACGAATTTATAATAAATTTTTCTTAAACTTCCTCATATATTATCAATCTTGCATCATGAATAAAACATTTTACAAATATTGAATACCGATATCATGCTACGAACATACCGATTCTCAAAATCTCTTAACGTATTTGACCACCCTACTTGAATGATATTTTTTTTAGATCCTTGCTCGAATATGATTCAACTCCTTTTACCACTTTCAATTTACAATGGATTCTATTGAATTATTATTTCTTTGTACGAAAAAACGATTATCAATATTTTAAATTCATAGTGGAAAACTATTTTTTCGTTAATTTTTGTCAAGGCCTTGCTGATATATTAATGCGTGTTTTCTCCTGAATTTCTGTTTATTTTGCGAAATATTTATTTGACATTTGCAGTGCTGAAAAGGAATTAGAAACAGTGTTCACTCCGATCTGAGAACCATGTTATCGTAGTGCTTTTCTCAGGCTTGCTCTTATAATTGTTATCGAATTTGATTAAATATAACGGAAATCTCGAGATGTTTCAGTAGATAGCGAAAGGGTTTCTGGTATTTTTCACGCGATCATGTTTCAATCTTATGTTGTATTGTTTAAATAAAGCATATGATATCGGACTTGCGGATTATAAATTCTATAGGAAAGTCTAGATGTGAAGGAAATTTTGATGTCATGGGTATTATATCTTGTGAATCATATACGGAATGTGGTACATGAAAACATCTTTAACTGATGAAAAGGTTATTGGTAGTGGCGAAGGTTGTTATTGTTCTGCAGTTTCGGAAAGATGCTCTTGGAATATAAAATATCCTTAACATCGAGGCGCTCGAAGAAAAATGAAACTTTGTGTTTGTTGATATATTTTAAATATTCCGGATGGTAGTGTATAATAAAATATATATCATATACTATTGATGCTTAATTGTTGCTGATTTATGCATTATGATTTTCAATTTGTCTTGATCTGCATTTAAACAAACGTATTTAAATAGGTTTCATATATGATCCATTATTATTAGTTTTCGAATGCTTTACAAGTGTACAAAATTTTCATCATAAAGAAGAAAAAAACAATAAAAAATAAGCGCAGTGTACACATAGATACGATGTATTTTAGAACACGAAAAAGGAAGAAAAAGAAAACGACATCGAAATGCATAATGCTGAATATCGTAAGGAATAAGATTGCAATTTCAAATAAAATGATTTGAAAACATAAATAAAAACGGAATAATAAGCTTGAGCACTATTTCATATAAGACCTTGGTAATCTTCTGAAGAGACCTGTTTGAGTGAGACAGAAGTAAAAGTTACAAAGAAAAAAAATACAACAATAAGAACTTGAAGGTTCGCAATACTAATTAATTTTGATCAGATGGAGAAAATGTTTTTCTTGGTTTACGAATACGTTTAACATGTTTTGATTGAACTAGTCAAGAGAAAAGAAATGTGTTTATTGTCAATAATGGATTAAAATTTTGCTTACTATTTGCCAAATGAAGAACAGCTGATGGATCAATTATTACTCTTTCTTTTAGAAAATTATTACACAGAACTGTGTCCATTAAAGCTTGTGAATACAACCATTTTGATTGTTTGATATCGGATGCATCAAGTGTACGTGGAAGAACAACTTTATCTTTTCTAAAAGAGTTTTCGAACTCGATAAAATCAATAGAATATTTTGCCAATGTGCTGGCAAATTCCATTTGACTTCGTACATTATTTTCTGGAAAACCTTTGAGATAACCGGTGAAATTTACAACACCTTTGATATTCTTTATACTAAACCAATCACCAATAACAAGTAATTTATCATTCACTAAATCATTGATCGCTTGATCACGGATTCGTGTCGATGTAGAGACATGTTTTAATCTTATACATATGTCAGTTTTTGACATAACTATTGAGTCTGATAAAATCAGTTTGTTATAAATTTGAGACAAAATTTTATCATCAGTTTTTTTGGTTGATGCTGATTCGAGAAAAAATATAGTAATAGCCTTTATTAGTATCAGGAAGTAGAGGAATAGAATAACTTACAAAAGCAATCATTTTTTTCAGTATCAATTGAAGGTTTATTAGTATCAAGATTCATGTTGATTTCATTATCATTTGGACTAATTGGAACAACGATATTTGAGGATGATATTGTTGTATCAAACGATGGTTCTGTATCCGCTTGCACGCTCATATCTATTTTAAAAAAAGCAAATTGTTGAAGATACATGTATTGTCATATTATTATGATCTCTGTTCTTTTACTATTAAATATATATATAAAAACAAACGGCGAATTATCAGGTAAATATGAATGATTCGAGCTCGATAAATACGATACCTCGATAGAATAAAGATTTATTTGTGTTATGATGTTGATAATCAGTCATTGAAACAGAGTTTGACATATTAACAGCAGTTGTAATAAGTGTTGAACTGGTTGAATGAAATACATCCGATTGAATATTATCTAAACAGTTAAGAAATATTTTAGTTGCTATTTTAACAAGTTATGAATAAACCATTCAATTGGAAGTCAATTTTCGTAGTTTTACATGAATCATAACTGGCTACTTTTATTCTTTCACAATTATAAATAATACTTATTATGTAAACATACCAGTTTGACATATACTCGAAGTGATCGGATTATGAACATTATTTGCTAGCGTATTGACAATAAATGATGCAGCATCAACATCATCACAGCTCATATTGATATTTGTAACAGTAGATGGTTGTGCAAAAATAGCACTATTATTTTGAAGCAAGTTTGTATCAATGTGAGTACTACCTACAATAAGAAAATTTCCTTTAAAAGATATCACCTTATTTTAATCTTTAACTCCAGTAATTCGAGAAAAAAGTATCATATTTATTATAAACATTACGTAAAAGGAGGATTATACTGAAACTAACAAAAAATATTATGCAATGACAAACAATTTTAAAACATTTCAGGCACTTTAATTATTAAACGCCTCTCGTGATTTTGAAGAATGTTCATTCGCATTCAAATTAACTAATGAGTATGTTACTACTTATAAACGAAACATGTTGTTTTTTCTTTAATCTTTCGTTACGTATCCTAGTAAAATTTTTGATCTCAGTCAAAATAAAACATGCTGACCTTGTGTTTTATGATATATTTTCTATCAAGCTATAAAGAAAAATAAAACACTAAAGTAATAATACAGGAATTTCCAATACTGCTAAAACTGCATTCGAAGTTTTTTTCAATTCATACTAAGCGAATTTTATAAAACATACCAATCGTTATTGTTGAATTTGTATTAATTGGAGAAGACAAAACCGGCTGTGTTAAACTCCATTTGTATCCTACAGGTGAAGTTGTAGATTCACCAACTTCATTTTCATCGGTAGTATGTTTTTGTTGTTTTTTTCTGTAATTTTCATTTTCTTCTTCCAACAAACGTTTCAATGAGAAGTTTGTGTTTCGACTAAGAGTAGATGTTGGTTTAAATGATTGTAATGTATTAATAGTTTGTGTTTCTCTCAAATTGCTGCTTGTATTCATTTCAAGGTCGACCAATTGATTTGTCAAGACTAACGCATTATGAACTAAACATAACAAATATATATTCCAAAAGATAAGTCAATAATATTTTCCAAATAAACATACCACCAGGATCAGATACTTGTGTAACTAATATGTTTTCGTTAGACATATTGTTAATAATGTTCGTGTTAATAGAAATTGATGAATCACAACGACTTTTTAAAAAATCTTGTTCGATTTCAAATAATTCTTGTTCAAAAGATATATTTTCTTGATGGTTTTGATTTGGCAGAGCATTATTGGTAGAATTTCTTGTTGTTAAACTGGATGTACATAATGAAGAAAATAAAGATTTTTCAATATGAGGTGACGATGACGAAGATGGTAATAGACTATCAATTGGAAGAACTGGTACATCAGATGTTGATGAATTGTTGTTGTTGTTATTGGATAATGAATCCAGATCAAATTCAAAAATATCTTGAACATAGATGTTATCTATAGAATTACACAAAAATATTATTCAATGAAAAAGTATCATACTATGATCAATTTGTTGAGAAGATGAAATGATATGGTATTGGTTTTTTCCTTGAATAAATTCTTGGTGAACCATATAAGCGGCAACTCGACGTTCCATTTCTTGTTCGATACGAATATCATTAAATAAATGAACAATTGGAATATAATTATCATTGGAAAGAATCAATTTAATTGTTTCTTCGGTTAATTCCATATTTGTTGGTAAAGGAGAATGCATATAAATATGTTCGTATTGATCAATATTAATATTTATTGATTTAAGTGCTGTTAATCTCTTTTGATCGGTACGAATAATACATGGTGGTATTTTTATAAATGTTTCTTTTCGTGCACCAACAAGATGCTTTTTATTACCGGTACCACATTGCACCAAATCAGTATTTACTAAATAATTGATAGCCTCAGTTAAACGAATCATTTTGCTTTTAGATTTTGCATAATTTTTAAAAATGCCTGTATATGGTAAACCCGTTGTTGGATTAGTAAACCATGCCTTTGATAAAATCGGCGATGTCATTGTCAATAAAATTGTTTGTTCTTCAAAAAACGGACTAAAAGAAAAAGATAATTCCTTCATTAAAATGAAACCTTTAGGGTTTTTAAACAATATTTAAACTTCTAATAATTAGACTACGACTTAAAAAGAAAACAACAGAATGATTTCTCTCACAACTAACTTTTTTGTTGATAGAATGTTGGCAATATTTGATGAATCATTATTAACCTTGATGAGTGATGAATCATTATTAACCTTGATGAGTGCTGAATCATCAAACAGCAACTCAATAGTTTTCGATGAATATTCAAACAGTACTTCAGCTGCTTTTACGGCAGCTTTATTTACTACAATCAGAGGACGATTATTGGACCCGTATGATGGTAGTTGGTCCATTTTTTCTTTAATAATTTTTTTAGCATGATCATAAAATAAAAACAATCTGTTATATTGTTGAATATCAATACGGTCTTTCACGAATAAACCATCACCAAAACGAATTAAATGAATTGATTCGTAGCAAATTTTTATTGCGTATGAAATAGCATAACATAAAGCACTAATTCGTGCCAATTTTATACCACTTTTACGATAAAATGCTCGTTGCAACGGTGTATAAATTGAACTTCCTTGTTGATCGGTTTGTAATGATTTATTGTGATAATAATCCATAGTTCTTTTTAAGGCTATACGTGGTGATAAAAGACTACCATCAATTTCTCGATCACTCTCTTCATATGGAATAACAACAGATGGTTTCAATTCCTTTATATTTTCAGTTGGAGAAATTGAATTATCATTATCTCGTATTAATTGTTGTATATCATTTGGTATTGTAACTAAGGAAAAAAAGAATACAAACGATTAGAAAATCTATGATAAGTACCTGTATTTGGAACTTCAGGTTCTTTCTCATAATCGCCAAACACAAATATTGGTTTATATTCGCCTAGAAGACGAATAATGATCAGAATATGAACCATATTCGGTTGTGGCGATAGAATTTCACCAGGAGGATCTACAGGCTTATGTGCTGATGTAGCAATGTATATAAATCGACTGACGGTGCCATCCGACATCAAAGAATTTCGATATTGACGATAAACAGTCGATAACATATTACCTGTACTAGCTCCAAAAATGTTTATTGATCCTCTATCAATATAAAATGATGTGGACCCAGTTGTTCTTGAAAGATCTTTTATAACATCATATCCTTGACACAACAATCTGGAGCCTATTGTTTTAACATCATTGTCCATCGAGCCTCCTAAATAAACACCGAATCTTATGTTGATTACGTCCAACTCGTCAGAAAATATGAAGACATTTTCCTAAAAATTTAAAAAGAGAAATAAAACATGATTACAAATGTATTTCTTGAAAAAATATATGTAGTGTTAGGCTTACACGTTTAGATAATTTTTGAAATAAAGATAATTCCGTATCATTATTTACAATTAAATCAATATTATCGACTGTTTCTTTACCAATAACATTTTCAGTTACTGGTTTACTGAAAAATTGTGGAAATACACGTGATAATACAGACATAGTAGAACTAAATGATCTTAATATACCAGATTTATTTGTACCTAAAACAGCAATCATATTTTTAAAACTAAAACCACCAAGAATAAAAATTCACCGGGTTCACCGATAAGTTGAACAAATAGATTCATAGATGAGAAATACCCAGTACCATCTGGATTATATAACTCTGCTCCATCGAGCATCACAGCAGCATGAACAAGAAAACCAAAAATGAATGGTGAAATATCTAAGCCCAATTTTTTATGTTCATCGAAAAATCTTCTTAAAGCTGGTTGATTAAAATCGCCGAAAACTTCAGATAAATTAAATGGAATTGGAGCTACATTGGCCAACCGAAATATGTTTTCACTAGTTTGACTTGAATATGATTCGTTTTTTGGTGTTGGCATGTCTAAACAAAGAAAAATTAAATATAATGCATAACATAAAGATTGAATGATGAATTTTCATAGTATTTTCTCCTTCTCGATTACGTAAATCAGTCTGCTTAAAACTGTTATTCAGTAACAAATGACGAAAAACGGTAAAGCGAAGAAAATAAAAAATTTTGCACTTATCATTTTGAAATTGAATGTATTTATATAGATGAAGAGACACAGAGAGAAAATAAAGAGAATAATAGGCAATCTCGATAGAAAGGACTTTTAGGCTAAGCGAATCATTACAAAGAGATAATATGCCTAGATATAATAGTTCAATATACATGCTACGTCAATGTGGACGAGATATATTCCAGGGATTTGCCTACCAATAAATATATGACGCATTTAACAGTAAAGTACATAACTTATACGTCTCGTCCAGTCCGTCAGTGCAAAGAAAAAGAAAAATGTAATGTAAACAAAGCAAACAATCGAACAGAATCATACATGCTGTGACATCACTGTCATTATCATGCTTGTTTTTTTCAATAATAGAAATCATTTATAGTATGAAGTTACCGACCTATGATCTATGATGTGCACTTTAAATCTCTCGTTTATATAGGCTGAAAATATATTGCCTTTTACAAGTGATATTTCACCAACACTTAATATTTCTGTAAAAAAATAGTGTCAATTATCCATTACAAGTGAAATGACCAAAAACAAGAGATACTGCTAGATGTAATGGGATAGTTATAGGTATCGGTTTACATGACACGTGCACCTTTTGACTATAACAGCGATCAGTCATTCATTTTTAGTTCGCTTTATCATGGCCATAGTTAACATTCAATTACCACAGACTCTGCATGCTTGAAAAGAAACTCTTTTAGTTTACTTTAGAAAAACAAATTCATTAATATACTTTTTATATTCAAACATTTTGGTGTTATAGAACACTATTGTTTTCCAAAACTTTACCTTCATATATTACGATGATTTTACATTCAATTTTTTTCCAAGAACATCACCAAAGAGCTCATAATGCATTGTTGATAATATTGAATCAACAGACATTTGATTATTGTTAGAGTTGTTGAGCTGAAATCATCAAGACTTTTATCATATAAAAATGTATTTCGATTCGAAACAGGTGTTGATGTTGATACAACAGACGATGAGGACAAATTCTGAAAAATAAATTATTTAATGATGTAGTTTCAAATTTTAATTATTTACTGACAATAATGGTCTTTGATGGAAGCTTGTTGATAAATTTTGTGTTCATTACATTGATGGTTTGTATACGGAAGAACTGAATGAAATGATAATGGATCAGTTTCATTCACCGAAACTTCTACAACCTATAGCATTATTTTCAAATATCTGTTAAAAAATGTCTATTGAGATAAACTACTTTAAATATACCAAAAGAGAGATACAAAAAATTGAACAAAATAATCCAGGTAAAGAAGAAATTATAAGACAAAAATAATTCTAATCTAATCCATAGAAAATAATAGTCAGAGAAACATGCAGCATTTAAAACAACATCACTTGTGTCAACATTTCAACGTTATTAGCAGTTGTGCTTCTTGTTTCGAAGGTTATTTTCCAAGTAAAACAAATCTATAATGAAAGGAACAAAATGAATTAGTTGGAAAACACAATGTTTTTTAGCGTAATAAACGACGATGCAGTATTAAAAAAGAAACTCATCCGTACCTGCATATACCTTATTCGAAAAAAATATTCGTTGTATGTCGTTCTGAAGATTTAAATAAAACATGAATCAGATCGTTTATATTTTTTTTGTTTATTACATTTGTAAACATGGTAAATAAGATAGTGGTGATTAAGTAATGTATGATAAGTATTTAGCGATTTTTTATTTGTTACGTAGTAAGAATTCTTCTTATAACAAAAGATACATAAAAAAAGATACTTTGTTTTAGCGGAGAATTATCTGAATAATTGTCCACTGTATACATGACCATAATTATAAAAATCGAATGATGATTATGCTTTAATGGATAGATCTGAATAATATAATCAAAGGAGCCTGTAACGATAAAACCCGAGCATTGGTCGATATCGATTGAGAAACTGAACGAATAGCTTGTGCCGATCTCGGTAATGATGTTTATTTGGCTACTTCATTTATCCAGTGTCCTACATTCACACATAATACACACTTATATAAAGATGAAGGACAAAGGTAGAAAGACACACGTAAGAAAGAAATAGGAAGACAGAAAAGAGATATTCATCAGATGAACACAGAGAGAGAAAGTATCGCTAGAGGCTGTATCAGTTCGTTACACAGTCAACACGATGTGGTAAAATGATTCATTTAACCTCACTAAGTAGATGTGCAAGAGAGTATATATTCGAAGATAACAATCATTGTTATCAAATAGAGACGACGTATTCCAAGTAAAAATATTTAGAAATATTTACGATTGCCTTTCAATTATTAAACTATCTTCAAATAGTCAAACTTTTGCAGCTTAAAAAGCAAATTCATAATAAAAAAAAAATGATTATTATATAGCAACAGGAAAAGCTATTTTAGTAAAATATCTAATTCACTCGAAGCAGTGCAAAATAATTGTGCTCGATAATAACAGAAAATGCAATAGCGTTGTGAACAGTTATTTTTAAAATATTAAAAAAAATATTTGAATATTTAAAAATTTGTAAAATAGATGCATCATTGATCAAATTTTATGCCTAAAAACTGATCAAATCGAAGAATTTTTAATTCTTTCAGTGAAAGAAAATTATTTTATTTTCTTCAGAATAGTTTCTATTGTAAACTCCATTAAAATAAAAATCACATACCGTGAAGTGGCTACACCTTGATGATTGATAAATTGAGTAAAATGAATATTTTTATCATTTGCTAAATTATTTTGTCCATCTATTGGTCATAGTCCCAGCTTTAAGTATTACCGTAAAAAAATCAAACAAATTACTACATACTGATTTATAGTGTATAGAATATTGCGTAATATAATTACAAACCTTCGATGTTAATGAGATATTTTTGTTTTCAAAAAAGAATGCATTCATTTACATGATTTCAACAAACTCACTTAGACCCCAAACAGACCAAAAAGATAAAACAGAATTAAACAACGTGATTGGTGCATTCAGAAATAAATCGTCGTTCTGAGACGATTTATTCGTTAATTCTGTTTTATCTTTTTGGGCTGTTTGGGGTCTTAGAAAAAAAAGAAAGTTGCTCATCATTTCACGTAATTTAGAAATTGAATATCGCATTGACCAATAATGGAGAAGAAGAACATAAGACAACGAACGATATATATTGTTCGTTTTATATTTAGTATGAAAGAAAATTATTAAGCACCCAATTTATATTTTGTAACTGTATTCTATTCTAATTTTAATACTGAACTGCTTCCAAATTATACAGTGATAAAGCACTTTCTAAACGTAAATATTCTATATTTTATTTATTAATGTATCACTAATTAAAACCTTTTTCTTTAAGATATTTTTCAATTGTACTTTTACTTTTGATCAAATTTAAATTATCAAGAGTAAAACTTTAATAAAAAAAACAGTGCATTATACAAAATAATGATAATAGAGAAACAATTTCATAATATCACTTAAACAACAAAATGAAGAGATAAATACATATATATGAAGTTGACTTACATAGAAAAAAAGTTAATAGAGCTTTTAATAAGATGAGCAATCACAATTAGCGAAAGTATTCATGATTTGTAATATCATCGATAGTATTTAGAACATTATACATATACATATATACAGAGAGAGAGACAGATAAAAGAAAAGATGAAATCCACCGATAATTATTCTTCTGTTGTTAGTTCATTATAATCTTCTATTACATCGAATTCTTCAGTATTTTCATCGTCTTTATCGAATGTTCCAAATGTTTCACATACTCTGCGTGTTAGAAAATAATCTTTAATTTCATTTGAAAAATATAATGATGATAAGCCAATTTGGTATTCATTGATACCAACGATTCTACAATTTTTCAAATGCAGCATGAGCATTAACATTACTGTTGAATATGGAAACGAAAAGTTTCTTAACGAATATTTTGCTTTAGCAATAAATTGAAAGCCAATTTCGGCTGCTTGACTATTTACTCCCAAAAACCGTCCTTCGTGAGACGGATGGTCCATCTTCATAACGGTTTGACATATCGATCTAGTATGTGTACGTTGATGGAAGTTGTCAAGAGCAATATATCTTGGAAGTTGTCGTGTTATATTAGTTAACTTTAACATGTCAGTACCTATCCACTTTTGCCAATGTAATTTAAGCGTACATGCGCAATCGTATAGAAGCGCATCGGGCATTTGACAACCATGTATGATGGAACGCAATAAATGTCTTGTAATAGATCGCATGCCTTCAGCTTTAATAGCTTCTACGAAACCAATTGATACACCGCATGGATGATAAGAAGCTAAAAATCCAAATGTTCTCGACTTTCGAATTTGTTCGCTGTCATCACGATAATTTGAGCATTGAGTTTTATGATCTTCCAAGGATTGTTGATCCCGTTGCTACAAAATATCATTATGAAGTGTATATAGAATAACGAGAAGGAAAAAAATATATATATGTAGACGTAAAGTAACTCGTTTAAGATGAAGAAAATCTTTTTTGCAGAGCCATAAAGACAACACCTTTCAATGCAAAGTGTAGAAGGCATATATTCGGAAAGATTAGTTTCAAATAGATATGATATTAAATAATTTAACTGCTGTCATTTTGACGTAAATCATTTCACGAGAAAAAGAAAGATGACTATTCGTAAGAATCAGGCAAGATCTTGAAATCTAACTTAAATAAGCTGACAGATGTTTACAATAATGTGAATCGTGATCAAAATGCCTTCAAGTTCTTTCTATATATTGCTATCCTTTGTCATTTATCTACTGTACATTTTAACTTATTCATTTATACCTATTTTTTAGAACAAATAGTTCATAATATGTACTCACCGCATATTCAACAGCCAATTGACATGCCTTTTGCATTTCAGAAGAGGGGAATAGATTATTAGATGGTTGATGATAACGACAGAAATTTGTGAGTACTAAAAATATTGTAAAATACAACAATCTAACAATAAAAACCAATTTTTCTAAAATACTAACTCGAATCATTGGCTTTTGTTTTTCGACAGGGCGTATATGGACATCCGATTTCAATTGATGTCATCTCATCGATTGTTGTATCCACCACATTTTTATATTCACAAACCAATCTTTTTGACTTTTGATGTCCATCAACAATAATGCATTTACTACAGTTGATGGTATTACATTTAATATTTGGAAGTACCTTATGGCGTGACCAGAAGATAGAAAATAGATGATACCACCATCCGGACGAATTTTCAATATACTGTTCAAGTTCTGAACGATTCAATGAATCAGGTATAGAAACCATTGTACCTTTACCAAGCATAAACTCAAACCAAACAATATTGTATAAAAACCAGTATGATTGAAAAACTTTTGTCAAATAGATATGTTCTAAGCAATGACTAACATCAGATTGTTCATAGCTGATACGATCTAATACTGTATGAATAAATGCATTGAACGGGGATTGATGATTCATCAATTGACATGTATAATCATATAAAACTGATGTAGTAAATCCCAATGAATCGCATAAGTAAAAAATTTTCTTAGGACTATTAATTGAATGCTGATTAATATATCGACGACGATTTTTCACTGAAACGAATGATGAGTGGCCATATATAAGATTACATGATTTACATTCCATCATCACCGTCATGGCTTCCATATTTTTAGAATAATCAATAACATGAATCATTTTAGTATCATAAAATGTTAATATTTGTTGACAATAGATACATGTGTTGGTAAATGGCAAAAGCAATAAATCATGTAAGATATCAATGGTGCTATGGTATATTTTTACTGAAAGGTTAATATAAGATAAATCGTCCATCAGAAAAATATTACGAACAAAATGTATATTCATAGCAATCAAATTTGTTAATATCCGAATTTGGCCAATAGTAAACTGACTTTTAAAACGTTCATTTACTGCTTTTTGAATAGTTCGTGTACGTAAATCAGATGACAAAATCGATGATGGAATGATCGAAAGATCCATATACATCCGGCACACATATGGCAATGGCGCTGGCCCAATACATGAAGCCAGAATTTCAAATAAATTATTTGAATCAGACATCGAATACACAAAAGAAAAATAATCCTAGATCCAATGAATCCTGTTAACCGTTTTGGATAATTAGAAAAACTGTGTGTGTTCAACTAAGTGATAACAGTTATAAGTACTGAAAACATTAATATATATATATGCATCATTATATCTCCTAAATCTCCTATAACTACTATATCTCCTATATCTCCTATATCTCCTATAACTACT